ACCATCGGCTGGCTTAGCTGCAGAGGAACCTGGCTGCACACGGAGAGCGTCGGCTTGCCCAACAGCCACCACTCCCTTCAGAGCAAAGGACACGATGGGCACCAGAGGGGACCACTCGCCGCTCACCGCTGCCGAGAAAGGCACCGGGGCAGGCTCTGTCTGCGGGGGCTCCTTTCACGCTGCCAACCTCACTGTGCTTGGCAGCACGGCTCCCTCCCTCCCGGGTATGTTCACTGGGTCCGGGACCCAGCCAGAAGGAGTAACTCTTTTCAAAAATGCCCATTTTCTCTCCGCTATAACTCGCGCTCTCAAAAAAAAATTTCCTTTGGGGCAAGAATGTCTCAAACTTAGTTTTGGGCTTAATGCTATGGTTTGTAGGACTGTTTCAACAAAATTGTTGAGGTTTTTTTAATTTATTTTTTTTTTTAATTTAAATACGTAGCAGTGAATTAAAAAAAAATCCTAAAAAGTGAAATATTTTTTTAAACATTTTTAATCATTCAAAAAAATTGATTTTCAAGCTCAGCATTTGTAAGCTGAGGTGAACATCTAACGTAGCAGGGAAGAGATTTAAACAGGTAAAATTATTACAAAAATGTAAGAGTGATATTACACATGGGAACAAAGTGGCACAATGGTCTACGAGGCCTGTATTAGAACGGTGAATATGAGAGAAGTTTAAGCTCAAATTTTTCGAAAGTTACTCAGCACCTATTAAATGTCCAGCCTTCCTGCGTGTGCACGCGTGCGCGGGCTTTGCTGTTTGAAAGCCCAGGCCCTTTTCAGGACTGGTCCTTCAGAGGCCTGAGCCCCCACATAGCGTTCCTCAAGCATCACCCTGTCACAGGGACAGCTCTTCTTTAAGTCACGGGACTTGACATCTTTTCTGACCTGGCTAAACACATCGTGGTATGGCCTGCGCGTGCCTTTCCAGTCACTACAATGCTGCAATTTATTACTTTTAATACAGTAGCACTGAGAGGCCTCATTAAAACACAAAAAACCTCCAGCCCTTGTGGTGCCAGGCCCTCGCTTGCCCTTCAGTGGACAAGGTAGAGGCGAGCAGGGGCAAAAAAGCAACGTGAGCCACCAGGCGGGACGAAGGCTTACATCCCCAGCTGCCGTCTCAGATCCCATTGCCTCCCCCTTGAACTGTGTAGCCTCCTGCACGCCAAAAACATTTCTGTGAACTTAATGCTAGGATCGCTGTTAAAAGAAACACAACAACAGAACCCGACTTGTTAAAAAATACTCACAGAGGAGGAGTAAAAAAAAAAATAAATAAATCCTCAACACAGTCGCGTCTGTCTCCAGTAAACAGGACTTTTTTTTCAGGCCTTGGGCTCAGCCGTATGACCAGTCTACTGCAGGTGAATGAATTACTGACTGTCAGCTGGGCCGTTTTCACTGAGGTTTAAGCACAGGCATTTTACCTGCCATTTGCCAGGGGCTAAGAGCCTGCACGCGCTGGGCGCGTACCGCCGCTCAGCCGGCACGCGGGCGCTTGTGTTACCCGCTTGCCACCTGACGCAGCAGTTTGCTCAGCGGCACTGCCTACCCCGATGGGTCACACTTCGGGACTAGGACCCAAGCCACCTCACCCCCCGCAAGGAACATCTCTGAGAGACATGAACCTGTTTCTAAATGAAGCAACGCTTATCTCATGCATGCCACAGGTGTGATGTCATCCCCTCTGGCGAAGGAACGAGGGTGTCTACAGCCTCCACTGTGCAAAAATGCAGGAACTAAAGTTAACGTGTCTCAGACTTTGTTAAAATATGGTGATAATTAAGAAATATAATTACCACTACAAAGTTAATTCCTCTTTCAATTCTGACAAACAAGTTTTTAATTTGCACCAAAAATTTACATTTCGGATTTCAAGTCAACCGCGAACGGCTACAGGCTTGGCAGGGGACTCAAGGCGGTGGCTGGCGGCTTCTGCCAGGCTTGGGGACAGGAGCACTGTGGCTTCCCGGGAACGTCACAGGCGAACAGTCGCCAGCAAACCCCGGGTGCGCACAGGTAAGCCGATCCGATTGCTTTAAACTGTCTCGCCTGTTGTACAAGTGCGAAAGTAACAGTCGTGTCAGATAAACTTCTGCTTTTTATTAAAAAAAAAAAGAAACAACTTATAAGGTAATTGATTGCTTTCTTCTAGTCTTTTATTAGTTGTGATTAAGGAGGTATAGTAGCCCTGTTCACACAGCTCTAACAAGTCAGGACCTGCAGCATGTTTTTGGCTTGCGGCCCACAACTTGCAGTCCATTCTCAACAGAATCAATCTGAAGTTGAAAACATCCCCTGTAGGAAGCGTACGCATCCCTGCTTATACAGGAACAGAAAACAGTAATAACTTCAGGTCCTGTAAGTTGCAAGTTCAACTTACAGAGATCAGCCCCGACTTGTCATTGCTCTCAGCGTGTTCATGATGAGATCAGAGTGCTTCACGGAGGACTCGTGCTTTCAACTTGACAAGGGACATAGGTGAGCGTGTTACACTTCACTGTTACGCACAGCTCAGACTCCGCAGAAATAAATCGAGAGCTCCTCACTGTTTAACATGCAGTCAAAGCGCTGCCAATCTAAAATGGCTGATCAGTAATACTTTAATTGCAGTTTCATAGAAACAAATTGCTATTTAATTGCAATAAGCTCTTCTGTGGCTTAGCTGGACTGACAGTAGGCATACACCTGGTACTAAAAGTAACAAGCAGCAACAACGGTTGTCTGGTACTTCACGTACAGGAGGCCCAGGCAGTGAAATCAGACCCGGAACACATAATTTCACACTGAAGAAATACAATACTTAAAAAAATATATATACAAAAATGTCCCGATCTCAATTTTATTTGTTAATTTAATAGAGCTGTTCAGAACGTAGATCCTTGCAAAAAGCCTCATGTTTGCCATATAACTACCAGCCAAAGAATTTGATAAAAAAATTTAAATTCAAATCATCTTTTGAAATGCCTGACGGTACTTGATAGCAAGTCATACTATGCCAGTGCGTGATTCTTTCTTTTTTTTAGCATTTACCCTAAAATGAGATGATGCAAATTTTATCAGTGTTAACTAACAGGGAAAAAGGGAGACAAACTCAGTGTGGTTAATATGCTAAAGATGTGACTTAATTTCATAGGCTTCATTTTGGTAAGACATTCGCACTTTATATTTCATAAGATACTGCATAACCTGTTAAAATATTTAAAGATACATCATGTAGGACTGAAAAGACAGTATCTTGTCACAAACGGAATTTGGTTTGGAAAGGCTTAGTGCCCCACTGCCTGCCAGGATGCGTAAATCTCATAACTAGACAGCTGGATAGGTAAAAACATTAAACCCATTTAGAGGGCAATCTTTTTACAAAATTGTTTCATTAATAAGAGTGACAATTTATATGATTGAGACGTTTAGATGCAGTATAGACAGAGCATTTTATCCAGGTTCACGAGGATGATTTCAGATTAGTAATATTTCCTTTGAATTTTTTTTTTTACAGCATTCATTTTTGAAAGTGAGGGAAGCTCTTACCGAATGATTATTTCTATGACTTTTCAGCAGCACTAAATGCACAGGGTGTGTTTCAGCCTCAGCGTAGCAAACGCATGCGATAAAAGGTGAACGTGGTTTTCCTTACAGGTCTCCTAAAAAAAGTGATTTTTCACATAAGGACAAAGCTAAGCGTTTCCAGTAGCCTTCTATCCACACCTACCGTCCCCATTAGAGCCTGTTTTATTGTCTGAAATGCCTCTGGTTTCAAGAAAGTGTTTTACCTAAAGCAAGAATACTACTTAAATATGTTCTATTGTATATTCATAGCTCCATTAGTCCTCCTCCAATTTAGCACATCAAAGCAAAGGCTTCATCACTTGCATGTGGATTATGCCAACATGAGTGACATTTGTAATCTTATAGGTCTGCAACTTAAGAAATGCTTTTAAAGTAAGCTATTAAATAGGTAGCTGTGCTTTACAAACGAGTCATATAATAGTTTATTTAAAGCCGTTAATGAACTTCAACCTCTACATCACTAAACGCTCTACTACGTTACTTACTGGAAGTTATTAGCTATCTTCTTAGCACTTCTAGGTTATATTGGACAACCAAAAATCTGTACGTGTTAGATTTAAACACTGTACCTTGAGTGCTTAGACTGAAAGAATATAAAAAGATGTCTACAGTCTCACTAATACTTGAATTCTATATTCCTATGACTTCAAGTGTCTTTTCAAAGATATTGAAGCAGCACAATTTGCAGGACTCTACCTAAAGGCTTTAATGCCAGATCAAAAAGCTTAGAAACTTATTTAAAAAATATGTAAGTGCATTTAATTAAAAAGTCATACATAGCTTCATTTTATTGCTTTATGTGTTATGCAAGTATTCTTTTGTCTTTACTGTCTGATACTCTACATTGCGACATTTTCTTTTCTCTGCGACAGTCCTATTTTTCCTCAAGCACTGAAGTGTTAAAAGAAGAAATTCAGCAGACCTCCAATATACTAGAGGTCAAAAGAAGTAGAATCTGGAAAAAAAAAAAAACAACCTGCTGTTGGTTGTTCAGACAGACTAATCTATAAATCAGCTTTTTGTGTATCGGCATCACAACAAAAATAGTCAAGCTCACTCCGTAACCGAGCATGCTGCACACTGAACACCTTCTCAAAAACAGAATTAAAAAAGAAAACATAATCATGATGCATTTCAAATGTATTAGTCTCCTAAAAAAGTAGAGTAGTTGTTAATATTGATTTGTTATTAATTGCGGCAGAGGCACATTCTAGGTGCTTGCAGTTTCCTGACTGAAGGCATGCAACACACAGCCGTAGATTCATGTTCGCATTCTTGCTACAAATATGGAAAGTCAAGAGTTTTTTCTCAAAATCATTCTGCACAGCGCTACCGCCGAGCAGCTGATGGGAAAAACCCACTAAACGAAGTTGCTCCCTTTCTAAGCTTAGAGGAGGCTTCCTTGCTTTGGCGGAGGGAGGGGGGGGTGGTTTTTGTTTGTTTGTTTTCAGAGCACAGGTCATATTTGAGATCAGTTAGTTCTCAGAAATAGCCCGGGAAACGCGTTTTTCTTTCCTTAAGATTATCAGCGTTGAAAAGTTAGTCTCTTACCACAGCAAACACAACTTTATGTTGTTCAGATCAGAATAGCTATTGTATTCCTTTTTATGAATACTCAATTCTGGTGCTCAGCGTGATGTACAGACCTTTTGTTGTTGTTTATTATTCTTTGACCTCTTACGCTATATACATACACTCTGATGCTTGCACGCTCACAGACACATGCACACCCTTAACACAGGTGATTCTGCGGAAAGGAACTGAATAGAAAGAGACCACAATGCCTGTATGCGTACCATAATTCACTGCAATATGAATTATAATAGACTTGCTGTTACCAGAATCAAGAATCTCAATGAAAAATAAAGACCGTTTTCAAGTAGTGCTCTGTATCCTTGCCAAAAGTAACACGGTTAAGTAGTTTAACAGATTCTTTACTGGCGTAAGACAAAAAAACTGTCCAAACCAAAAAGCTACTTTTGAAGGTAATTGACAATTAAGGTAATGACTACGTAAGATATAGTTTCAGAATAATGTTTTTAATGTAGTTTAAAAAAAAAAAAAGCAAAGCTTCTAAAACCCATACTCAATTCAGTGTTGTTTGTTTTACTTTTTTATTATTTAAATACACCATACTAGAGCAAATGTCTCTGAAAATATCACAAATAAAAGATTTTTCTTCATTCAGCAAATTAGAAGTAGGTGAAAATTTCTACACAGTAGCTGCTATGAGCCTGACTTTTTTTCTTTTTTTTTCTTTTTTCTTTTTTTTGCCATGGGAAGTAGCAACATTAGGACAAAAACACTTACATGCATACATACATTGTATTTTACAGAGATACAATAAAAGTGTTTGTGCAAGAATATCACAAAAGCCACATCTTTATCTCATGTTCAGTTTGATTGAAACACATTTCCTTACAACACTTAAATATACAAAGAGCAAATAGAATGTTGTTAAGGTAAAACACAGGGTACAAACTGGCCAGTGCCCTGCTAATTGTTAATGAGGGTAGAAAGCAGATTTCAATGCTTCTTTTAATTATTTTCATTAGTCATCTTCCCCACCCGCCCCCCCCAAGATGTCCTCCGGTGGATCTTTTTTCATTTTCTCTACAGTCTCCCATTAGCCCAGGTTCATGGAGTCCTTAATGTTCATATTCAGTCATTTTAATACACCAATAAATGTGGGAAGGGCAATCAAGAATAAAGAAGGTGCAATGGTATGGAGCTGGCATTGATGCTAGCTACAAAGGTGACTTGTCTACTTGGAGACATGGGATCCATCTGTGATGAACAAAATTTGAGATGAAGGCACGCATTCTGCATTACTCTGACCTTTTAGCAGACCTGTAAGAAATAAAAATGGGTATCTTAGCTAGAATACTAAATTTGAGATAGGAAACTGCAACATGACTGCTTTTGTCTTTTCCTTATTCACTAATCTCTTTTTTATTAGATTACTTTCCAACTGTGACTTGATTAAGGCTTTCTACACTATCCATTCATACTGCTAACGTTTCAACTTCAAATAGCAAAAAGCAAACATTTTCCGCAGTTTCACTACTAAAAAGAGCAGACAGGGGAAGGAAAAAAAAAAAAGAGACGACAACAATAAATAAGCGTATTTTCTGGTAACAAATTGTACAGTGAATAAGGTGGTTTTTCTGGGCCCCTTTTAAAAGGGAAGAAACATTATGCCATGCCTTTGAAGAAGCTAGTAATATGATCTTATAATTGGAAGAAATAGTGTGTAAAGCAAATAAGAAGTACAGCCAATATCCTCCCAAGGCAACTTTGGTTAATATGCTTCATTGCACAAGAGCTAAATATAGATATTTCAGGATTTTTCCCCCCCATTTAAAATTCCTCATCTGGTGTGTTAGTTAATGTTACATAAACATTTTAATATATGAAGTCAAACATGTGCTTTCACACTGGTGTTAACGAATTGTGATAATTAAAAGTGTCTAACTCAATAAAAATCTAAACTTTCGTGGATAAAATAGAAATGATCATCCATAGTCTTCAAATACAATCATCTGTTTGCAATTACCAAAATGAAATAATATATATTAGATTTTTATGGTTTTTAAATGACATTTTGCGCTTCCCAGGAAGTTCTTTTTTCTACCTTTCTCTAAGTTACTAAAAGCCCGAGGTCTATTAGTAACTGCAACCCCCCACTTTCAAGCTAATTAAAGTAGTAGAGGCTTGGAGGTTTAATTCCCCAGAGCTGAAGCTCAGTGTGAGAAAGGTAATTTGTCTGTCCAGAACAAAGATTAGGGAGCAGCCAGCAAGCATATTTAATAAATGAGCATCAAATATCTTCTACTATGGACACAGACAACACCAATTATGTAACTACAAGGGAATTGTTGAGTGATAGGTAAACTAGAAGATTTTTAAGATCTTCTGAGAGACATAGCCTAACTCATACTTTATTTGAAAGTAGAGAAGCTGAAGACAAGCGTTTGCTACGAACCTTGCCAACCAATGGAAAACTTACACTTTTAGTAGGTGGTAATACTGTTGCAAACAAGAAATACTACAGGAATTCTACCACTACCAAAAAAGCATAGAGAATTCTTGACAATACAGCCCCTTCAAGTGAAACGGCACACAGGACATCACAAACTGCAGGCAAGCAGTACCAAGTTTAGAGAAAACGGGGGGGCGGGTTTCAAACTACATAGCCAGTGATGGGAAGTTATAATTTACATGTGTGAATTGCCTCAGGGAGGCAAAAGGGCAGGAATAGCCAACATTGCTGCATTTGCCTCCTTAAAGAGAAAAGCAAGTTCTTAAACAAAGTTAGGTTGTGGAACCCCTTCTGCCTGCACCAGTCACCAACAGGCATTAACCCGTGAACTATATTAGGACAACAGTGAGTTCATAACTGTCACCTTCACACACGCAACAAAAATGTGTTTTAAAGCTGGGAGTATGTCTCAACCTCTTCAGTTTAATAAAAAAAGCCTGTGAATATTCTGCTATGTCTATAATCTCTAGTGCTAGAATAACCTGGAGACTGATTGATCTTTAATGTTTCATAAAAAGTATCTGTTACAGCCAACTCTGTCATAGTGGAAGTGAGTGGCCCTAAAACACGCAGCTTTCTGGAAATCATCTCTGATGTAAACATCTTTAGACCGTTAAAAAGCCAACAGACAAAACACAACTCTTTTGGCACCTGCCCCTGTAGCTTCCAAAACTCCAGAAACCTGACAAATCCACGAATTATCAACTTGGCTCCTCAACTACATTTCGGTTTTCTGGGGTTCAGGTGCTCCACAATTCCCCTTTGAAAACTGGTAGGAGAACTTGCACCATTTTCTAGAGAGATTATATTATAATGAAAAAAAAAAACCCTAAACAATGATCTCTCCCCCCAATCTTCTCCCCGATACCTCTTCAACTGCCTCATCATTGACTGTAGCAATGCAGTTAACAGTCGGTGACAGGAACTAATAAAAACCCGTTCTCACTATTTTCTCTGCATTTAGCTTCTACCGGGCGTCTACAGTCGTGAGCTCTGCAAGCCCGGTCCAATTTTACTTTTCTTTTCCATGTTCTATGTTCCTCATCATGTCTACTGCTTTTATTGCAACTAAATCATTTTTATGTTTTGCTACGGCATAGTAAGAAACTGATAAAACTAAATGACAATTTAGACACCTATTTGAAGTTACATTAAACTTTACATTCGTAGAAGACAAGTGGATAAACCACTCTCTCAGAATGGCAAACCTTTTACTGCAGTGTATAAAGACGAATGGTTTTACCTATATTTTGAAATGGGATACCTACAAATATTCATTTAACAGATTCACTGCTAGCTAGTCTGTATTACAGATTTGTTTCATTAAAATTCACGACAGTATAAATCTATGAATCTTTAACTGTATTTGTACTTCCTTGAGAAGAGGCTGCACATTCTCCTCCGATCTTAATTATCTTTGTTCTGCCTAACTATATAGGACTTTTGTACTCAACTCTCTCATCACCTCGATTGACAAATTAAGTAAAAAAAAAAGGCCCATGTTTTATTTTGATGTAATTACATTCACTGTATAAGACTTGAAAGAATACTTAAAATTAATCAGTAAATTTATGCACAGAAAAAAAAACAAACACAGATATTGAAACGTAGCAACACAACAAAAAAAAAAATCATGGAAATTAAAAACCAGTTTGTGTTTTCTTGGACATATTTCCCCACTAAGTAAAAGCACTAAAAAATATTCTGTACATTACAGAATAGATCAGCCTAGCATTTGTCCCAGATTTTTTTTAATCTTCCAAATTCCTATTTGCAGATAAATGTTATTTTTTGTGATCCTTACAGACATTAATGAAGTTCCTATTGTAAATCTATAAAGAATTACCAACTGAAGTGTGCACTTTTTGTTTCATTGCAATAACTCAGTGCTGTGTGATTGCCTGGGTTAATGATGAAAAAGTCAAATATACTATCAGAGCTGATGGAAAAATCTATCACCAATCTGAAATTAAAATTCATCTGTGGTCAATAAGATTTAATATCCATGCAAGTGGCGCTGTAAAGAGTAAATGAATCAATGTCATCAATACATAATCAGTATGAAATATGATGTGAATAAAATTATGTGCAAGAGTCATACATTCACTCTTTTCTGGACCAGGGTGGAATGAACAGTCTCTTAACTCAAGGTTGACAGTAATTGTTACAAATTAGGCACAGCAGTTATCAAAATGCACTCACTCGCATAGCTTTAGGACTTATTAAGGAGATTAAAATAGATCTAAAACTATCGAGTTTCAGAGTTACAGGACAACTGTTGATCAGAAATTTTTTTTTCTTCTTCTTCTCTATATGATTTGTACAGTCATTATTTACTCATTTAGCTAGAAACCAAGAGCTATCAACCACAGAGATATACAATCTCTAGTTGAGCTATTAGTGTTATGGAGCGATAAGAAAATAGCACTTTGGTTTTTAAATCTGAGTTATGACATACAAAACAGACAAGAAAATACTTCTGAAAGAGTACCCCAGCATGCTTCCTCAACTAAAACCTTAATATTAAAGTGAAATACATTGGTTTAGTTCAGGAACCTTCTCTTCACAAGACATTTATTTCCATATTAAAGGATCTAATTTTCCTCCCACAGAAACCTGCTCTCTTGTAGCCCTTAATTTCAAGATTATAAAATATAATACTTTTCTTTGTTAAGAGTTTATATTAGCGTATGCTCTCCATTTCGCTTTGTACATAAGGAGTTCAACAGCTGTACAGATGCACATGCCCAAACGGAAATAAACTGACTCACCCTACATGGCATATTTAAAAGGTTAGTATTTTCTCCCCATACCCCGTGCCTAAGTTATTTAAGGTAAGTTCAGTTACTTAAAGGTCTCCTTGCAGGGGTGGGGAATGTCCACTATCAGAATGAAAAGAAATTGATCTTCATTTAGCTCTAATAAAGCTTATTAGTAATTGTTGAGTATTCACCTTCTGGTCTGGCAGTAGTGGATTACTCTGAAGTGAATTCAAATGGCCATTGATGAGAGCTGTAGGTCTATCATGTTCACAAAATAAACTGCCATTGATGTAGTGAAACCGATCTCCGGGGACCAGGCGATTCCGGCAGGTAGAGCATGTAAAACACTGAAAAAGGAAAGAGACAGCAAGTGAAACTACAGCACAAATTAAGTATGCTGCAGGTTTGAAAATTACACTTCAGAGACTGCAAGTACAGTTGAGATATGGAGCTGCTTGGTTTCTAGCATCTTCAAATACGGCATTAGTCTTACCTGTTGGGACTGTGCAGTGCATAACTCAAGTATAGTTTTACCGATTACGAGGGAACAAAGCTACACACTAAGGGAAGCTTTATAATACATACTCGTATTTCTAGTTGCTGCTTTGCATTTCATTCATAAGCAGATGCAGATTTTATACTAAAGCAGCACAGCAGTACTCATCAGCTACTCAAAAAACACATCGAAAAAAACCCTCACCTTAAGATGATAGACGTTGCCCTGTGCCCTCATGACCAGCTCACTAGCAGGAATGGACTGTCCACAGGCACTGCAAGCACCACTATTTCCAAATAACCTGAAACAGAGGTGACGATCATGAATAATTTAATACACAGGAGGCTCTAAGCATTTTTGCGCATCACCGCAATGGTTTATTACACAACTATTTTAGACTCCTGACCCCCGTCTTCCGACTTGCTTACATGTCATAATATGAAAAAGTATATTTTTGTGTAACAACTGGTAGCTTCACCCTACCTTGGATGTGCTTACACAGGATTTAATCAGAAATATTGACTTACACCTCTAGAAACACAAACAATTCTGTACTACACACATTTTATCAGATTACTGGGTTCATCATAAAAAAAAGATACAATTCATGACTGGAGTTTAAATGCATTGTGTCCTTGAAATTATATGAAGAACTCTTTTGTACTTTAATCATATCTTGAGATATGAGTCATCAAAAGGGTTAAGAGGATTTGATTGTATATCTAAGAAGACATCATGCTCAGTGTATTGAAACTCCAGTAAACCTCCATCAGTGCAGAGTTTCCATTAGAAACTCTCTGCTATCCAGGTTGATATATAATGTGTATGGGTTAACCTTTTCAATCATGGTGTCAACACTTTAGATTTGCCTCTGCTCATCTCTTTCATCCTAACCTTCTCTCTCTCTTGATAATGAAATGCTTGCTCCAACTTCCCTCTATCTGCTCCTGAGTCCACAATTTAGATTACTTCATCTCTGCTAGCAACAAACTGAATGAAATTTCGATTTGAGCAGAAAGTAATTTACCGGGATCTGGACCCATTTGTCATCATATCTCTCTGGGTGTTTGCTGTATCACTGCAGTTTTCCTATGCAATCAAATGAGACCACAACATCTGCCATTGGGGGGGGGGCACACGCAGTGGGGGGAGGGGGGACATAGGCAGAAGAGTGGTGAAGAAAAATATATACATAATTCTTCAAATCCATTTAAAGGCACAACGCATCGATTCAAAATATAATACAATAACAATTACTGAGTTCTACTTTTACAGGCTGCGTTAGCAAGAATTAGAAAACCTTTATTTGCTTTTGCGCGCGTCTCTAATATACACAAATATTTATAAAGACCACCACAATCACATTTCAGTAAAAAAGGAAACTGAACTAGCTGGCAGGGTCACAGACCCACTTTTCTGCACGATGTAAAACATAGTAATAGGATTTACAAATTAGCGTATTGGTGTCATAATAAATATTAATATTTACATCTCCTTCCTGTCCAAATAAAGTCATAAAATTCTGTTTGTGTCAACCTAGGAGACGCATTACAACAGAATACCCGTAATCTGAATGATTGCAGTGTGCCTCTGTACAAAAATAATTGCTTTGAATTTTCAGAATCTGAGCTTGCAGAGGAGGCTTGTCATGTTCAAACTACTAATTTGCTGTCGCCACTTTATTGAAAATAGCCTGTAAGTTGTTATTAAATGTATCGACTGAACGACAGAGAGAGTAGTAAAACTGCCCCTTAAGATGGCTTTTAATAGGAAGCTGAGAAACAAATTTTGCAGCAGCATCGATTTGAAGAGTTCAATCAAAACTCCATTTCAAAACTAATTAGTCTGAGATCCACGACACATTGACACGGTCTTGCAGAATCACAGTGGTTACAAAGGGAAAGCTGAACTAATACATTGTCAGGACCTCCAGCCAAAGGGACTAAACTGTCTGGAAACTAAGGGTCCATTATTAGGGCACCTTCTAAATCAGGACCAGTTCCGAGTAGTTACTTGATGTATTGAGGTTACTTCCAAAGCTTTACGATATGCATTTTTCTTCCTCCGTTGTTACTAGTAATGAAGTTGGCACGTAGAAAAGGTGCATGGGAAGCACGGCAAGAGGAGGCAGCAAGGCACTGTTACATCTCTAGAGCAAAGATCCAAAAATCTAGGGTAAGGGGGTGGCAACAAGGGCACTGCTGGGTAGGGTGGAAGAAGAAAGCCAAGATGAACAGACAGCATTACTTGTCCGGGAGAACCTGAACCTGGTGAGCTGTCTCTCGCAACCCCCCGTACAATTGCACCACCCAACTGAAAACACAGCTTTCGGAATACTGATCTCATTGCACTACTTGTCTTCATCAAGCATTCATTTGTTATACGATTCTCTCTGACTAGAAGTGGTCGTACACCTTGAATGTCTGTGAATTCTAATAAACGGAGTCAAACTAATCCAGAGGCTTTCCACACATCTTAGGTTTTCCCTAAGCATGTTCCCAGAACAATTCTGTTTTGGGAAGTCACTTCAGCTGAATCTTCTGCTAAAATTCCTAAAAATGACTTGCAAAGTCAGAACACCTTTCTGCTGCTTTGTATTATTTACCAGGAAAATTAAGCTTATTTTTCCTTCTCTACTGTTATGAATGGTTTTGTTCTGTAACACCACTGACAGGAAAAAGGTTTTATCTTTTAAAAAAAATGTTATTCCTCCTTACCAGTAAAGGAAGTCTTCCACAGTAACTATTCTATACTGAAAAAGTTGTTTCACATGGTTTCTGAGAGGCTGGAGAGCTAATTATCTAACCAGGGGGACTGTCCAGGACAGTATTTGATTTAAAAGGCTTGAGGCTTTAGGTGCTCAATTAAGTAGCTATCGGTCTCAGACTGGACTTTAATGGGCTCTTTTCTCTTTAACTGCAGCAATGGGTAGAGATACCCCAGGTCAGGCTAATTAAAGCCAGGGGACTCTTTAATTGTGATGACAGAATTGGTTTCAGTTTCCTCTTTGGGTCCTCAGTCCAAGAAGGTCATTAATATTTCAACATTTGGGCAATGCAATCAATCACAAACATCAAGAGGTTCCCTGTACGGACAAGGCAGCTCTTCTACACTCAGCAGCATTTTACCGAGCCACCTTAAATTAACTACTGTGTGGTTCCAACACAGCATTCCCCACACCCCCAAACACACAAACACTCCTGGATTTTTGAGGGCTTTTTTTTTTTTTTTCAGACAAGAGTGGGAATGAAGGCAGCAAGAAATCTTTTCAGCCCAGTTTCCTGTCTTGCTGCTCAAGCAGAAACACATCTCTAGCAACTTATACTAACAAAATAAGGTTCCAGTTGTTTCCAAAATTGTGGAGACAGCTTTAAGTGCTCCGATTCTTGCACAACACGGTGCACATTTATGCCCGCAAATATATATCCAAGCCCGAGCAAAGAGAAATGCACATCCAGACCTACTGATCCAGAAGCGATTGGTGTTTCTGTACATTCCCTATATTTAATCTAAATTCTGCACCAGCTATATTAAATGTAACAAAGAAAGGCAACACAGAAATTACGCCTGGAGCCAAGTCCATTAAAGGTACTTCAGAATACAGAACTTTCACAAGAGTGGGAATGAAGGCAGCAAGAAATCTTTTCAGCCCAGTTTCCTGTCTTGCTGCTCAAGCAGAAACACATCTCTAGCAACTTATACTAACAAAATAAGGTTCCAGTTGTTTCCAAAATTGTGGAGACAGCTTTAAGTGCTCCGATTCTTGCACAACACGGTGCACATTTATGCCCACAAATATATATCCAAGCCCGAGCAAAGAGAAACGCACATCCAGACCTACTGATCCAGAAGCGATTGGTGTTTCTGTACATTCCCTATATTTAATCTAAATTCTGCACCAGCTATATTAAATGTAACAAAGAAAGGCAACACAGAAATTACGCCTGGAGCCAAGTCCATTAAAGGTACTTCAGAATAACTGGAGACCAAGCACCTTAAAAGCACCAGAAGCTATTGATACTTAAAAGGGGGGCTGTGCATAATGGCAAGTGCCGCATTAGAGAAGGGGAAGGAGGAAAAAAAAAAAAAAAAAAAACCAGCCAAATTACGCTTGGTTAATTCAGAGTAACAGATCTGCCCCCAAGTGAATTGGAGGCCTTGAATTAATTCTGTTATGACAAATCAAGATAAACGTTCCCCCTAAATTGCATGCGATTTAATTAATTTTTGAGATCCTGGTTGTTGTTTTTTTTTTTCCTAGCTAATATTGCACATGCTCCTGTGCTGTCATTGTGCTTGAGTGGGCAGACTTCAAAGTGATATTAAATAACCAACTATTAGATTTACCTAGCACGTCCTATTGGAAAAGTGCCATTTAATTACCTAGCCTGTTCAATTAAAGGGACAGCATTCCCTGAATATAGCAGCTTGCCGCTGATTACCAGGGAAATGAACCGGCTGCCCGGCGGCCCCCTCCCCGGCG